AGAATTATTGAATCTTGAAACAGGTGGTCCATATAGTAACCACCGGACTGAAAAGGGTTTAACAGCGTCCGAAAAAATTTAGTTTTACTTGCTGGCCTGTGGCACGGTGTTAGTGGTTACCAACGGTTCTGGATGGTTATTTGGAAACATCCTATATGTTTGTGCAATTTATTGAAGCCGGACGAATGCAAAGCGGGTAGCCGGCTGTTGCATGTAAGGGATATGTTAGTTAATACGTGTCAACTGTTTGGTCATGACTTGAAATGTCTTGCTCAGGCTTCCTTTTACATGAATGACACGTTTTATGCTCCAATTAGAAACCGACTTCAGAGGAGAAAGAACGCCTATTTTAAGATATTATTGAATAAATATTATGTCCAAGAATTCAGAAGTTCGTGGTGTTGATTGAATGACTTATATGTTTGCTGTATATAAGCCTACAAAGATGTGCACCCGAAGGCCCAAGGCGTCTGCTGGTGTTTGTGTGATGGTCGCACCATAATCTATAGAGCGTATGATTGCAGAGCCGGTAATCGGAATTGTCGTCTTTGTACATTGCAGAAACGAAGCGCTGTCCAGCTTTAAAGCACAAAGAATGTCAAGCGAAGAAGTAGGCCCATATCATCGCAATACATCTGTACACTCGAAACTGTTTAAATATAATGGTGCTGCTCTTCTCGGGTTTGGCGTCTTGTATACTCATCGGTAGAGGCTAAACGTAAGGCCTGAAATATATTCTCAGTTAACCTCTACATACGAATAGGCATGCATTCATGTATACGGACAGCGACTGATACCTAAGGTCTGCCCTCTTTTACATTTTACCAGAGTGTGTTATGCACCCTGTCTAGCCCCTGTCGACAATCGATACAACTATTCATTTCAGTGCAATCTCTCGCAGTGTCGGATGTGAAATCCGCTTAGCGTCTGGAACTAAAGGACAGAGATGCAAAGCAGCAGAAGCGTGCTGTAACGTGACGAAATGCCGTGCAATGAAATACGTTGACATCCGCCCTGTACATACGTGTTGTTTATATACCGATCCAATTGGGAAACTTTAAACATAAAGCATATACTTTAAAAACTAAGGTCTGTTGGACGACAGGGCGAAACAGGTCTACTTTCCACTGATCCATTTTTCGTTGAAATCTCCGACCCAAGTCGACCTCATCATGTCAGTTTACCTTTGAGGATTATGAAATTCTGTATGAATATAATTAAATGTGTCCGATTAATGAAGGAAGTTTGAGCGGATTACGGAAGGATAGACAGTTTATTGAATCAAGAAATGAGAGAGGCGGGTTAGCAAGGTTTAAGGCTGATACTTGGAAAGGGATGAGGAAGGACTTGAGAAAGGAGTAGGATTTGAGGTTTTCAGGGCGGTTAGTCTGAAGATGGCTCTCTTCTGGGTTGTAGCGCCGTGTGGTCTGGCAGAAGTTTACCAACGTTTACCAGACTACCACGGCGCTACAACCCAGAGGACAGCCATATTTTGAGAAAGGAGTGTGTGTCTATGTACAGGGAAAGATATATGAATATATTATTAAAATATTTGGAGAATGGAAGTAGAGGGAACAATTGTTGAGTAGAAAACGGATTATTGTTAATAAAGAGGTAGCTTGTAGCAAAATGACATATTCTACTAGTGCTTTTGAATTAAGGCATATTTATTTAATTACACCTAAATGGGAAAATAAATGTATAAATTACCGCCTGAGCTAACCCCCTTTGTTGACCGTAGGTGCGGAGTGGCATGGTGACAGTAAGCGACGGCAAAGTCCGGCCTCAGCCAATGAGGCTTCACCTCTCCATGGAGCTCCTGCGGCTCCAGAAAGAGGAACTTTCTCCCATCAACCACAATTACAACAGGAAACCTTCTCCGGTTGACTCGAGGGTAAGTTGGCAACGGTCCTAACACTGTATAATGTAGGCTGTCATATTTGTCTTCGTCTTCAAAAAAATAGATAGCGTATTTCACATAAATGTTGAAACTCACAGATGACAAACAATTTAGATATGTATTAGCATAAAATATTTGTGTAATTATGTGTAATATCGTGTTAACATTTTCAGAGATATTATGTCCGTCTCTCCATCAACGTTGAATTGTTGCCCGTTGCTGACAATGTAATAGCATTAAAAACTGCATGATTGAAGAAGTGAGAGGCTACGTGTTCTTCACCAATTTTAAAACGGAGTTTCTTGAAGAAACTGCTCTTTGTGAAGGGAAACAGATTTTGAACAGAAAGACGTTTATAGTAAAATTTGTAAGTTTCGAACTTGAATTTAAATGTTTCTGTTCTGAGGCAAAAACTTATCTTCTTTTACATATGAATATGTACATTATTCGACTGTAGAAAGATCCATGGAAAGCTTTATTACAGACACGACAAGACATGACGAAAATGTCCGCTTTCTTTGCGTTAAGATATTTCGTACAGGTGCAGGTCTTGGTCTTCAGCTCACCGTGAGCGATGATAATGGAGCTGCATGTCACGCTTATGCACGAATGCACGGACACTTTGATCTGCTTTTATCTGTCAGATGCGTTTTCGTCTTCTCTCCGAGAAGCCGCTTATGGACTTTATTTCCATCTTCAAAATACGAGGAACGTCCTATCGTTCACCTTTTTGCTTCAATCACTCTTCACGTTGTCAGACGGAGTGCACTTCATGCATCCATATCGTCAGCTTAGTCTGCCTGTTTCTTTTTTATCTTAGGTTGTCTGAAGTCGTGTAGCAGAACAAGTAACTTATTTATTTGAAGTTTATTTAGCAACTTTGTCAGTAGCTCAGATAATGCAGCGTAGAATAATGAGTTGGAAAGGACATGGAAATAAGCAATGGTCGCCTAATTTATGGAAGTACTGAGAAGAACCATTTGAAGCTTTGAATATCCGGTTTTCGGTCCGTGTTCTAAACCCGGGGCCCACCGAATTCGAGTCAGGAGTGTTGACCATTCTACCGCGATCCTCGGTTTCAGAATAAAATTTATTTTTGCTGGCCGCTTCCAGCCCGAGGACCGCATACTGCCAACCACCGATCTAGACATTTCTGTTGCTGTATAGATTTTAGCACTCAGTCACGCAGATACAATGTGTACATTTGCAATTTGATTTGTCTGTTTTACGATAATTAACCGTAATTATACTCTCAAGTTACGTGTTTCTAGGCGCCTGGCATGTCCCTGTGAGTTGAGTATAGCATATTGCTTTCCAAGCGTACATGGAGGGGAGGTCATGGGGGGGGAGGTCATTGGAGGTCATAGGATAGCGTTGGATAATGTATATAGGTTTATTAATCGTAATATTGTCCAGGTTCATGATGGACCAAACTGTACCTATTACTTTAATGTTTTGTGTCACCCGAACGACGAGGCATAAAATCTCACCCAAATACCATTCAAATCAGCATCTCGAAACATTTATATTACGATGTGATCAGTGTGTTTATACGAAATCGAAAGATAACAAATGATAACAAATGGCTTGGGTTTTACAGTGTGTCAGCAAAGTTTCTGCAAATTATAATATCTCACTGCGGAGAAAGTTAAATTTGGTAGATAAATTTTGGGTCATTCTGTAGGTCTATGTATGCTTCACCCACTGCTGTATCACAGGACTCAGAAGGGACGTTGAAAATGAGAAAGAGGCGTTAATAGCGACAATTCTTTTGACTTTATCTATCGTCCTATTTTCTAAAAATCGAGCACTTAGTGAGATTTAATGCTCACACGGCGACGGCTTTGAAGCTAAGCTGCTGTAGCATATACATGGCGCTCGCACAAAGGTGTGAAACTGCTTGTACTTAGCATTCTAAGCTAGGTATCGAATTGTGCAGTTATATTTCTTTCTTAATGCCGACTCATTATACTTGTTCTGGCTTTGTCTCTCTTCGTCGGTTTCCTTCTTCCGATTGTCGTTTGAGGAATCTTGTTGTCTTGCATTGACTTGCACTCTTTTCTCTAATCTGTCCACTTAGAACATACCGACATTCGGACTCACCGCAGTGGAAACATCTAATCCCACTACACCAGGATTATGTTATCTTAACGATTCTAATTTCTTTCTGTATTTTAAACACGCGCATCTATGCTCTTTGAATCTTGTTGAGTTCTTTTGTTCGGAACAGTTTTTGCTCTATTGAGTTTTCACTTCTAATGAAACGACCATTGCTTCAGTTTCACTGCCTCCATCATCAGGGTGTTGATGACGGAGGCAAGAAGCACCCCTGGAACGTTAAGCACCCCTGGAACGTTGGAAAAATTCTTTCAGACTACACGGCGCTACAGTTCAGAAGGCTGCCATTTCCGTACTCGCCACCTTGAGAACCCTAAATAATACGTAGTATAAAATAATAGAACAATGATAAGTGTAATGGGTAAGTTTGAACGTGGCTTTTCGATATACACACTACCACATGGTGTGAAAAGAACGATGATGATGGTGGTGATAACAATAAAGGACATTCCAAAATTTGTGTCTGTTATCGTCAATTGCAGATATCTTAACTTTCGCCTGTTATTTTACAAGGTCCGTGTGCTATAGTATGGTAATTTGTTGGTTTCGTAGCTTCAGACTTTTTTTTGTAGATTTCGAATGTAGTTGCGATCTGGGCCGTTTGGTTTGTGGCGTAGTATTATTTTATATTGACGCCTCTAACTTTATCTTAAGTTCAAGCACCGACGGTCCTTACACTTTTGTGCTACGACTGTAATACATCTATCATGTATATTTGAGTGTGTTGATGTTTGAAGATGGCTGTCTTCTGGGTTGTTTCGTCATGTAGTCTAGTACAGTTTTTCACCTCTGTCACAGCATAAGAAGTAAATTGCTGTGAAGGGCAAATAAGCACACCAGTTCTCAAATTATAATTCTACTATAATTCATTGTCGTCATCAGTGGTTCTACAGTCCTTCATGAACCTTGACCTCCTTTCTGACAGGTGGTTGATCAATATTCTTAGACATTTGGTAGGACTTTTTCAACCAGTGATAAACTCTTCTACCTGTATTTCTGCTATAATTACAAATTATAAATAAGTACATAGACAAATATGTATATGATTAAGGAAATAAGGAAATACGTGATCAATAAATAAGGAAATTAGATAAATAACGTGCTGCTTTTCTTTCTTACATTTCTCTTTATTTGAGTCAATGAAACATTACATTAAGACTTGTTGTCTTTGTATTACCCGAAGCATGGGCACCTGCTTTCTGCCTCCTTTTATTTTGCAGCCTGAAAAACAACATTAGCTTTAGTTAGTACATATTCGTCTTAAACACGAGGAACCGTGTTCGACACTTGCCACTGATTCATCACATTCGTTTAAAAATCATTTCCTTTCTGACATTTCAGCTTTTCACGGCGGCAGAAATGTTGACATGATCTTTTGTATAATATGCTCATAGGTAAAATTAAGTCGTAATGGATTTGAGATTTATGATTTAAATTTGAAAATTATAAGGCTTGTATTGAACCTATATAGGGTTACGTATAGTCTAGGTTAAACTGGTACCTAGCGGCAGTTGTGCTTAGAATGCAACTTGAATTTAATTTCTTTAATAAATTGGGTGCCTGAGAGCCTGTCAACTTACTTTTTGTTACTGCCTCTATTTATCGAAACGGAAGTTCTGTGACAACAGATGACTGCAAATGATTTATACTCACATGTACACCTCCTGCAGGCTTTGGTTCGGGCTCTGCCATTACCATCAGCGAATTCTGAAACAGTATAGAGCATTTAGAGTTCCTTCGACACAGAACAGGCATGTTCAGGTTTGCGCTTTCCACCGACAAAACATTCAATAAAGGCATAATTATTTTCTCCAAAGTGGGGAAACCCTAAGAAATGAATTCCTGCCTTAACACGCAGTGTGTATGTTGCGTTATGGTTACTCACGGGCAGTGTTACTCTTGTGGAAGTCTGATTAATAACGACGCTTATTTAATTACGTACGTTAAATATGTAATAGAATTAACATGATGGTATTACAAATCGATGATAAAATGTGTGGTTACAGACAGAGTTGAATAAGATACTGAGCTAACATAGAGGTTTCTCAGAAAGATGTGTGCACAGTATAATACGGAATATTAGCTATGTTATTGTGACACTCTACATATAGAGACTGTTGTATGCATAACATAAAACAGGGGTAGAATTCGGGAATATTAGCGTGT